ATCTTATGAGAAGATTTGCCTATCAGTTTACACTGCTTGGATTACTCCTCAGTGAGGTCATCACACCACCAATTTGTTTTTGGCTATAGAGCCCTGTATAGTTATCTCTTCAGTCAGAAATTCATGACTGGCTGGAATCATCCATGTGACTAATCTATGAAGAAGGAAACAGCAGCTGTCGGGGGGAACAATGGTGTTAAACAGGATCAAAAGTAGGTGAATATTTGAGACGGAAGCCTAATATTTTCTCTGCAAAGCCTTTTACACACACCAGGACAGCTGAAATGCTGTTTTCAATTTGTTACAAAATAGGCTTTTGCTTGCTCAAAGTTGGCAAAAGAATGAGGGTGACTTTCATGTCTGAGTCTCCAATTTTCATAAATGCTCATTCTAATGATAACAAAAGAAAAAAGATATCTAGCAGAGAGAAAATAAACACTACTGCTCAGTCTTTGATTTGGGTTAATGTACATAGTGAAGCAATTAAAAAAGGCTTAATGTAAATTGGTTTTCCAAGTAAATGATGGATTGGATAGCGTTGGTTGGATACATAACATTTATCCCCTGGGTTAATGATCACTCACTTCCAATTCTGCTTAATCCTGCTACAAAGTTAATAAATATTTATTTTGTCCCAACAGTCTCTCCTAGGATCCTTGGATGAGAAGAATTTGTGGAGTTTCTTTTGCTATGTGTTCCATAAAATAACACTTTTGCTTCCCCTGGTTAAAGGCCTTCACACATTTTCAAAGTGCTAGTTGCATTCAGTTACACTGTGGCTTTGCTGACTCCACTCTACTTTCTGTTCCTTCACAAAAGGAACGAGAGAAATATTATTTTCGGAGACAGAGTGCAACATCTCTATGACTGGGAAATTCCAGATTTTCTTGAAGAAAGCCTTAAACGTAGAATGACATTGGGTAGGCATTGGGGTGTGGAACTGAAGGTCAGTTGGCTTTCTAATTGAAGCAGGGTGAATAGGAAATCATTAACTAAGGGAATTCATTTGAGTTGCCAACAAATTTCACCTGAGCAAAAATTGCTGCCAAAGTTTGAAGGATCTTTTCAAGTGAAACACTTGCAGGAATTTGAAGAGAAGGTGCAAGCTCAGTGACAAATGTAGTTTACTTTTCAAATTAAATTGTAAGCATTTTGCCAGTATCAAACATCTGCTACAGGATTGGGGATCACTGAACTCCACCAGACTAAATTTAAAATAAAAATGCAAACCATAAGCAAAGGTTCGGAATGCTCAGAAAAATGTTCTATCCCAACCCAAATCTGCTCATTATTGCAGCACCTTGTGAGTCCTCCATACCCCCTTACCTGATGGCATCTATTGCGGCATCTCTCTCCTCCAGGCACACTGGGTTCCGCCCAACATTGGGGGCAGCAGTGAGCATGCATGACGTCACACAGTGGGAGGAGTCCTGATGGGGTCCGGAACACCCTCCAAAAGGTCTGATGGGAGATGTGACCTGGATTGTGCCTTATTTCCCATTCAAAGCACTGATCGGCCTCTTGCTCTGTAGGAGGCCAGGCTAGTTGTTCATCTTCAGTCCTCCGTTGACGTGCTGGACAGCTTGCTATGGAGAGAGCTACTGGAGTATTCCTTGACTGACAGTTTCTGGGCATTCTTCCCCACTTCCATGGAACATCCCAGGCAATAGCTCACAGATTTTTTTGCCTCCCACCCTAAGTTCAAAAGTAGTTGTTTTATTTGGGTTATCTGTTTGTAACTGGGAGCATTCAATTTCTATTTTGGGAATATACAAAGCGCCCCGAGTCCCGAGCTTCAAAATTAGCCTTGGTATGCAGTGAGGAGGAGATGCAATAATTTGTGCAGAAATCTTTATAGAACAATAATAGAATTGCAGAGATGAAAGGGAGCCCAAGGGTCATCTAGTTCAACCCCTTGTATTGCAGGAATCTCAACTAGATCATACATGACAGACGGCCATCCAGCCTCTGCTTAAAAACCTGCAAGGAAGGAGAGCCCACCACCTCTCTTAGGAGTCTGTTGGGTCAAGTGATTCTGTATTTCCCAAAAATGAGTATGTAGCATCCATATATATTTTACACAGAAAATAGCTCATTACAGCACTATTGTAAGATTCTGTTGTATTTTTTGCAGGACAGAATTGCCCTGGCCTTTTCAGTGGTGTAATAGCACGAGAGTCCTGTTGGATCAGACCATCACCTTGTTTCTCACAACTAGATAGATCCTTCTGGGAAGCCCACAAGTGGGGACATGGAGTCGTGTTGTAGTGTACTGTGTTTCAGTGCTCTTTGCCAACAAGGTGTGCTTCATGTCTGAGAAGAGATTTTCACCTGGGTCTTCCTGGTCCACTTTTGCCACTCTATCCATGACTACACTTCAGGGGCCACCCATCACCACCAAAACATATAGGGAAAAAGAGAAAGAGGTGAAGCTCATGACGATCAAAATCCAAACTGAAACTCTACAAACACATCAGTGCAATTTATCAACCAAGTGTGCATTGGTGGTGTATTATTTCCCCCCTATTTAAAATTATATTTGGGGATCACATCTCTACACAACTCAAAATCAACACGGTGACAAACTGTAGCTACAAGGAGATCAGAAAACCTTCAGAAGAACAGCCGATGCTCCCTCTTAGGAACAGACAAGCATAAAGCTTTCAGAAACAAAAGGCCAACAAAAGGCATATTTCTGTTGATTTTGCCCTTTCTGTTAACATTTTCACTTCGTGGCCTCAATCCTGGGACATGTTCAGTGTGTTATTTATGAAATATCCCAGAGTTATCCTAAATACTTTGTCTCTATTTTCTGCTCATGCAATAAATGCCCAAAGACGTTTCTTGGCACTGTCTTCACTTTCAAAATATAGAGGCATGTACTTACTTTGTTTTTCCAGTTTTCATTTATAACAAAAAAGGAAAACATTTCAATAATTATTCAACAATAATTCTAACATTTTAACCTTGACTTAGGAATCAAAATTATATATGCACTCTTGCAGGATTCTGGCAGCTCTCCTGTGTTTAAAGTCATGTTCATAAAGTCTTTTAACGGTTGCACTAGATAATCTTGTAACTTTTTATAATATATTGCTGAAAGTCCAGGTGCCTTTCTTCCTTTCCCTGTGATATTGCTTGCTGTAGTTCCATCACTGTCACCAGTCCATTCAAAAATGTCATTTTGTCTTTTGCTATCTTTGGTATTCCACTGTCTTCTAAACATTTTCCCAAAGGCATGTACAGTGGTAACTCTGGTTATGTACTTAATTCGTTCCGGAGGTCCGTTCTTAACCTGAAACTGTTCTTAACCTGAAGCACTACTTTAACTAATGGGGCCTCCTGCTGCCGCCGTACCATCAAAGCACGATTTCTGTTCTCATCCTGAAGCAAAGTTCTTAACCCGAGGTACTATTTCTGGGTTAGCGGAATCTGTAACCTGAAGCGCCTGTAACCCGAGGTACCACTGTACTTACATTTTCCCCACTGAAATCATATGAACCTAAAAATGCTTACTGGTTTTCATGGGCGTAGCCGGGGGGGGGGGGGAGGGCAGCTGCTTCTCCTAGATCAAGTAAAAGAAGAAGAAGAAGAAGAGTTTGGATTTGATATCCCGCCTTTCACTCCCTTTAAGGAGTCTCCAAGCGGCTAACATTCTCCTTTCCCTTCCTCCCCCACAACAAACACTCTGTGAGGTGAGTGGGGCTGAGAGACTTCAGAGAAGTGTGACTGGCCCAAGGTCACCCAGCAGCTGCAGGTGGAGGAGCGGGGAAGCGAACCCGGTTCCCCAGATTACAAGACTACTGCTCTCAACCACTACACCACACTGGCTCTAGAAATACTTAACTAACTGAACAATTACGTCAGTTCTGCCACTCCCATCAAAAGTCCTGCCCCCTCTGACAAAAATCCTGGCTACGCCCATGCTGGCTTTTGCTAAAGTGTAGCCTGGTGGTCCTACCTATATTTACCCAGAAGTAAGTTATACAGGTGAACGTGCTTTGGGTTGCAGCCCTAGGCTGGATTGTGTCCACGGTTTGTTGGGGAAAGTGCTTCTGCAGATAGCAAAGACTAACAATAAATACGTTATGAAAATCTAAATAAGGGTAAGTTCTCCTATAGAAAAATAATATATATTGCCCTCACTCTGAATACTAAAATTGCTTTGACGACAAGAACAGCATTTAATACAACTATGGGAGGTACATCAGACCCTTCCATTCATTCAGTAACTTTGATCTTCCCTTTTCTGTTATTAGAAGATGGCAGCCACTGCTGGAACTGCAGACACTTGGGTGTCTCTGAATCTTTAGCTCTGGGAAGCAGACATTGGCTGTCACTTATTTTCCACCCCATCCTTTCTCCCATGCATTTTTTGCAACTGAAGAAATAATCGTGTGGTTTTGGAAATAATATGTGGAATATCTTATTTTAGTAAAGTCAGTGCAAAAACACCAATTTACCTGCAAAGGCTAATGAGAAAGTAATGTTGTTTTTCAGCTCCAGCAGACAGCATGCTCATCAGCTCAATAAAAGACAAATGACCTGACATTTCTAAACAAAATTAATTTTCTTTGCAGAATGCTCTCTATTACTTTCTTAGATGATTTCGTACTTTGCTACCTGGTTCTCAGTCATGGTATATTGAAGTAGATTAGCTTTGCATAGGAAACATCATGATTTCTCACACTCCATTTTTAACAATGCATAAGATTTGTATTTATGGCCAGAACCTCAACATTCTGTACAGTATTGAACATTTTATGCAGGTAAATATATATTGTTGCCCTTTCATCCTAGTCTTTTGTAATAGGAAACAAGAAAAAAGAAACTTTGCATCAATCGTATTCTGATTAACAATATTCTTATTTTAAATAGGAGTCTTTTGTAATAAAAAATGAAAGCAAATTCAAAGAATCTCATCATGGAATATAACAAAATTGTAGGGCAGGAAGGGACCACAGGGATAATCTTGTCCCACCCCCTGCAATGCAGAAATCTTTTGCCCAATCTTTCGTGGGGCTCAAACCCACAACCCTGAGATTAAGAATCTCATGCTTTACCGACTGAGCTATTTCCACTATAGATGCATAATTTATCCCCATTTTCAGACTCGAACCTCCATCAAATCACCAACGGCAGATTTCAGAGAAAATGAACATATGCTCACTCTCACATTGAAAATGAAAGTGAGTCTCCTTAGTTTCAGTGGTGGTTAAATTGGCACAGAATTGTAGACTTAAAAGCACTCCATCTTGGTTAAATCATATCATTGTTAATTTGCATTTCTTGGTTGCAGGTAGGGACTTACACTTTTGAACGCTCTTCCGCCTCCTAAACAAAGGTGCACACAGACACATAGGATGTCAATGAGAAAGTTTGGTCCAATCCTGCTCCCTGACATACTTGTTTTCTACAGGCAGAGAAGCTTCCAGGATTTAACATTGGGATATACAGTTTAGGTATGCTAAAACTCACTGGGTGTTTAGCAGGTTAATGTTTAACTGTTGATGTTCTCTGCCCTTACATGTGAGTGTGTAGCTTTAGATCACATGAGTAAGGTATTCAATTGCAAATCACCATTTTGAAGGGAGTTTCCTTTGGTTCTTTTGTTCCCAGGCACAGTCAGAGAAGCATGTGCTATTCATGCCTCTCCAGAGGAACAGCCTCAGGCTGCAATGCAGTCTAATGGAATCTGTGTATGGAGAAACCTTTGAATCTAGGTCTGTTTAGAGTTATATAATATTTTTAAGAAGATGCCGAGCCTATGCTTTGACAAGCATATGTCTTATGGAACTATTTGGATATATCCTTGATTTGGTTTTGTTTCTCTTCTGAAGAAACTCTTCTGGTGAAGCTTTAAATCATATTTATGGGTCTGGACAATTTTTATTTCAAAAGGAGTCAGTTTTTATGCATCCAGTTGCCTCAAGCTGTGCAATATTAATATCTGCAAGATCCAGTTCCTGACCCCTGTTGTAGCTGCATTGGCCCATCTCTAGTCTGTGGGTTCTTGTTGTCTCTCTTACCCATAAACTCTAAATTTAGAGCCTACTTTTTTTTACTCTGCAAAATGCTATGTATGCTCATTGATGATACTAGCAGAATAAATGAACAAAAGTTTTCAGACTTAAAAAAAAGAAATCTTAGTGGACAAGTCCCAAGGCAGCCTTGCTGAGATCCTCAATTCATTTTCTTAACCTACCATGTTAGTTTAAGAACGTTCCCCTGAGTAAGAAAGGGATATTTATGATTCAACAGAATGAATATTTTGCCTTCAAATAGCAATTAACTTTCCCTGCCAAAAATCAAAAGTTGAGATAATTGTCATCCAAGTGCAATTGTTTCCGCATATATAGAATTTATAGTAATTCCAGAGCCAAAGGAATGTGTTAACTGGGGAATACATTGGACAGGCTATTGAACAGAAAATATTAATGAAATGTAAAAGGATTTTTTAACTGAATACTAATCAGGCATGACTTGTAATCAGGTAAAAAATGTGAGCAGCTACACTGGTACACCAGTATAAAATTCAAACAGGGACATCCCGCCCCCATAACAGCTCCCTTTGTTCCATTTTTGCATTTAAACTCCAGTCTAAATAATAGTTTAGGTGAACTCAAAAGCTAGCTCACTAATACGTGCTTTTTAAAAGATGGTCCGAATAATATTATTATGTTATTGTTGCTGCTTGCATTGAAGTGCAACCTATTTGACAAATTAATCATGGTTCACTATTCTGATTTTTTTTTTAAAGTGCACTGAGAAGTCAAAGCTAATTGTAAAAAATATTTGCAATGGCTATTTTTGGTTAGAAAACTCATTACCTTCATCTTGAAAAAGTTAGTCATTGATACTGAACATATTACAAATCACATGACTTTTAGGAAATGTCAAGTTACTGCAGAGAAGAAATCAGGCCAAAATAGCTGCTTAATGAAGGAACAGCTCTATTGAAAAAAGAACAGTATAGACCAGCAGCATGACTCAGTCAGTGCCTCTACTTGATTCTGTGCCCCTATCGTTGAATTTGACATCAGAGGAAATACCGAGAGCATTTTTGTTCAAGGCATCTTGTGCCTCACAACGTTACTTGAACAAGAACGGCAACAGTGACCAGTGTGACTTGGCAGCTTCTCTGTGTTGTTGCTAGCGCACCTTTTTGTTCCATCTAGATCAGCCTTTCTCAACCTTGTGTCCTCAGATGTTGTTGGACTACAACTCCCATTGTCCGTGACTGCGGGATCTCTTCTCACCAGGGGTGATGGGAGTTGTAGTCCAGCACTGTCTGGGGACCCAAGGTTGAGAAAGGCTGAACCAAAAGAGGAGGGAAGTTCCCAACAACAAAAGGGAAAGGAGGAAGCAGCATCTCAAAGGTGAACAACGCCTCCCCCAATGATTTTCTTGAGTCAACGTTTTTGAAGTGAGCTGCTTCAGAATAAAAAAAACATTTTATAATGTGTCATGAAAATAGGAGTAAGACAACAAAGTCTAGAAAACATACTTTTGGGACACATAAAAATACTAAAAATATTGAAAGATTCACCAATACAAAACTCAAACTGTTAGCGCATGGTGCTGATCACGCCAAGGCTGCAGGCTCAGTCCCCTTATGGGACAACTGCTTATTCCTGCATTGCAGGAAGTTGGACTTGATGAGCCTCAGGGTTCCTTCCAACGCAAGGATTCTATGATATAGAAACTTAAGAAACAACAGCCAGATGCTTAAAAACTGTCTAATGCCAATGGGGATTCTGGCCTTAAAACGCACACCAATGCATTCTCTAGTGTGCTCTGTAACCACATGAATTCAAGGTCTGGTTCCAAGGAGTTTATATAATCCAGGTAGGCACTGACTTACTGCCTCAGTCCTAGACACACCCAAACCCACATGTATGCAGCTGAGTTGTGGAAGGGCTTTGTCTTCCTGTAAGGAGCTAGTAGTTGTGACCAAAATATGAGGGGGTGGGGAGAAGCCCCACTGCTGCCACCATGTCATTTTAGCAATTGTGAATGAACGCTTTTTCTTCACTAACGTAGCTGAGTTTTATATGTGTTATAACACCGTGACACCAGATGGCGCTGTGGAGCCCCGTCTTTCGCCAACGTTAGGAAGTTTACAAAGCATTTTCCTGAAACGCTTTTTTGGATGTGTCTAGATCCAGCCATAGTGTCTGTTCCCCAAAGGCAAACAGGTGCCTGCCTGTTCTTTCAGAGCTCCATTCATAATTGCTAAAATGTTACAACAAAGGAGTGCATAACAAAGTACACTTTATACTTTGTACTTTGTGTGTAACAAAAACCACTGACTGGGGGAGGGGGTAAAACAAGAGGATCCTTGGGCAAAAGGGTTCTCTGAAGCATTGCTGCATTCCACTTTGCAGGCAGAGCACAGCCTTTATGGCTAGTAGCCTTTGACCACCCTCTCCCCCATGAATCTGCCTAATCCAGAGGCTTAGCTGGGTGAGGCGGGGGGCACTGGGGGCCACACCGCGGGGGCCTGCAGCGTGCCTGAGCCACGCGTCTCTCCTGAGGGGGAGGCAGCAGGCGGACTGCCTGCAAGCTCTGTGCGGCTTTTTTGAGCAGTGCGGGATTTGCGTCTGTCCACTGCCTCAGCCGCCCTACAGCTGAGGGGGAGGGAGGCTGCGGAGAGGCTCCACGCAGTGCGCCCTGCTTTGGCTCACCCCGCCCCCATGGGGGGCTCGCTCTGCCCCCAGCTGCAGGGTGCACACGCTGCCCCAGGCACCCGAGCGGCTATCTACACCGCTGCCCTCTTGCCCCCAACATCTTACTTGTTCCCATTTTATTTCTCTGCTTTGTCTTGGCTCTAAGGTTGACCAGAGGCAGAGATGGGACATCTGCTACTGAGGTGACACTGAATTTTATATCAGTTAGGGCTTTTCTCTCCTACTTCTGGTATATCTGATCAGAATATCAAGCCAACGGTAGGCCTGTCATGATGGATTTGGTGGCAGAGCCTGTACAGAAGGCTTCTCCATTCTCATGCCTTCCATGTGTTGTGGACTACAACTCCCATCAGCCTCTGCCAGCATAGCCAATGGTTGGGAATAATGGGATCCGTAATCCAAAATATAGAGAGAGTAGCAGGTTGAGGAATGCTGCTGAGGAAAGCCCAATTCACTTACTGTCTGAAATGAGTGAATCTATGGATGACAGCTCTTCATTTATGCAGGAGAATGTGAGGGGCTGCTTCAGCATGTTACAGAATCACACAGAATTGTAGAGTCTGAAAAGGATAATCTAGTCTAACCTTTTGCAATGAAGGGATATTCCACCTAACACGGGGCTTGAACCCATGGCCCTGACAGAGATTAAGAGTTTCTTTTTTTAAAAAAATGATATTTATTAAAATTTCAGAAAAAAGAGTTACATAAAAACAAGAAAAGCAAAAACAAAAGACAGAAATAAAAATACAAGAAAAATACAAAATACAAAATACAGAATAAAAGAATAAAAAACACTTATAAAAATAGATCAATCTTTCCATGCCTTACATTCATATCCTTGTTTCCCTGACCTCCTCATACCTCCCTTTTTTTGTATTCCAATTCAATTAGTTAATTCAGCAATTTCTTTCCCTCTTTATTTTCTCTTAATCCTTTAACTTAATATACTATAACTTTAAATTTCCACCTGTTATCAATCCATTTTTACATACACCTTTATAGCATTACTGCTTAAACCACCTAACTTCATTCTAACATCATTCTAACATTCATTAATTTTGCAATATTTCTGTAGATAGTCTTTAAATTTCTTCCAATCTTCTTCCACCAACTCTTCTCCCTGGTCTCGGATTCTGCCAGTCATTTCCACCAATTCCATGTAGTCCATCACCTTCATCTGCCATTCTTCCAGAGTGGGTAGTTCTTGTGTCTTCCAATACTTTGCAATAAGTATTCTTGCTGCTGTTGTGGCATACATAAAGAAAGTTCTATCCTTCTTTAACACCAATTGGCCCACTATGCCCAGGAGAAAGGCCTCTGGTTTCTTCAAGAAGGTATATTTAAATACCTTTTTCAATTCATTATAGATCATCTCCCAGAAAGCCTTAAT